ATGGCAGATTATAAGCATACTAATTGTATGTTTATAATCTGTTTAAACCTCAAGCACAATATTCACTCACATTTAAATTACGGTATGTATGTTCGCGTTCTGTTTAAACCTCTGGCACAATATTGACCAACACGTAAATTACTATATTTATGTTTGTGTTTAGTTTAAACCTCAAGCGCAATTTGTGTGATAAATGTGTCCATTTATCAAAATAGGCATATCAACATAGCAGCAAACATCTGAGTTAAAAAGCTTGGGTTAAAATTTTCTAATCAAAATGAGCCCTAAACTGTCATAGAAGAGAAATCACATTCGATATAGACTGTTTGTAAACCTTGCATTGGAATTTTTCTAGAAGGTTGACATCTAAAGTTTATTATTATATCCAAAATTTTCTTTTTCAACTTTTAATATATTTAAAAGTTTATGCTTTTTTTTTTAGAGTTTTTTTAAAGTCCATTTTTATTTCACTCCCTGTTCTTTTATGTTCAATTTTATTAATAGAAATGAGAATAAGCAGTTTGCTAATTGATTGTGTATTTTTCTGTCATATGCTTTCAATCGTTCTGCATTAAAAAAATCGTACATGTGAATAGGAAGGAACCTTGACGTGGTTCATGTGCTTTAAAACAAATACCTTCCAGACAGAAACTTTCTGATACCTTGTGTATGAGTAGTATTTTTATATTGGTAGTTTATAATCTTCTGGTTGAAATTCTTGCTTTCAAGGTGTGTTTTTTCTTGTTTATTTAGAATACGTTGTTTACATAGAATACGTTGAGGATTTTGAGAGACGAAGGTATAATTTTTATCAATTCTAAATACAAGCAGATGATTTAGAGTATTATTAAATAAAACGTAATGTACGGAATTTGACTGAAGTTAGTTTGAATATAGATAACTTTTAAATATAGATAACAATTTTTTTTTATTACTTAACTTTTTAATTTTCTACTTGGTCGTTCAACTTTAAGTTTTATATCTAAAACAAATGGCTGTGTGAGATCATATCGTTATCTAATCATAAATTTATTTTAGGGAATAATCAGTATGAAAAATAAATGCTTAAGAAGATGTTTAACAACGACAATGAACTTCAAACATTTTTTTAAATGTTATTGTTAATTGCAGTTAATTTATATTAACATATTATTTATGTAACAGTGTGTAAGATATATATGAAATTGTGTATTTAATTTTAAACATTTTTAATACTAGTTTCATTAATTCAGGTTTTTTTTAAGTTTTTTTAAATTTTATTATTATGAAATTAACCTCTTTTAATTAAACTGCGACAGCTTAAATTAGGGATGGCAATCCCGGGATTTCGTAAAAAATGTTCATCCCGAAATCCCGGGATTAGTCTCGATCCCGAAATTTCCCGGAATTTCGGGATCGTCAAAAAAAAGACAAAGTTTAAGCTTATAATTGTAGTTTAGTAATTTTTATATCGTCTTTGGTATAGTAGCTGTTTGGTTGTGTAATCATTTATTATCTTTGCAATGTTTTCCTTTCAAAACTCTCATATTCTGCATTTTACAAAAAAAAAAAAAAAAATCAAAACATTGCTTGTCTGCAAAATGTAAACATGTTTGTTTATATATATATATATATATATATATATATATATATATATATATATATATATATATATATATATATATATATATATATATATATATATATACATATCAAACTAAAAATATATAATAAAATAAAATTAAAGTATAACTTTTATTAAAAACTCTTGCTCTTTCCACAAGCAAGCGCTTATATTTTTGTTATGTTTTATAATATACTAGTTTTAATATTATGCTATATATAATATATAGTATTATATTAAAACTAGTATATTATAAAAATAGATAAAGTTTAGGCGCTTGCTGGTAAAAAGAATTTTTAATAGAAGGTATACATTAATTTAATTTTGAATTTTCTGCTTCCAAAAGTATGCGCGATTTTAATTCCAGTTTTATATCCGTTCATTTTAATTTTTAAATGAGTGAATTATGAAAGTTTTTTTTAACGTCATACATATTTATATTATTTTTTTATTTTTATTTATACTGTGTTACCATTTTAAAGTATTGTTTTATATAATACTTATAAATTATCATTAAATTAATAATTTTTAAGTGTTTGATAAGTGCTTAAAAAGTATTCAATTGCATTTGCGTTTTTTCCTATTCAATCCCGGGATTTCCCATGGACAAATTTCTCAATCCCGAAATTCCGGGATTGAAAATTTCCGTGATTTTTGCCATCCCTAGCTGAAATACAGAAATATTGTCTTCATTTGTCTTCATTTGTCATATTGTCTTCATTTGTCTGTCAGACAGAAATATTGTCTTTATTTATTAATGTATTTTTTAGTAATATTAATGTAATAGCAACTTAAAAAGTGGAACTTTTAATTTATAATGAACATGTAGTTACTTTTTAACAGTTGGTTTATATAAAATAGGGAGAGATTTAGCAACGAGACGCTGACAATATTTGACAACGGCGTTTGTTACGAACGCGTCGTTTGACTAAAGCCATTTAGCCTTTGTTTCGCAACACGTGCCTAAAAACCGTTATCAACAATGACGGCTATATTCTGCTTGAAATCTGTAGGAAGTTTAGTTTTTTTAGGCTACGCTGAAGATTTAATAGATATTTATAAATGAGTTGAACGATTCCCATGAACCATATCCATATTGGAAATATGATAGGTTTGATATAAATACTAGGTACAATGATGTACAATGTACAATTATTGTTTTTGGCATCTCAGAAAAAATTGTAAATGCACAGAGAACTACATGCAGTGGTATAGAAAAACCTTGCACTTTGCTAAAATGACTTGCTTTTCAATGTAAATAACGGGAGAGGAGAAATTAGTTACACAAAAATCAAAGCTCTGTATTTAAAAAAAAACTAAAGCAAAAATTTTTTAATTTTTTTTTTAAATTAATACAATATTTATTTTAACAAAATAATCTTTTATAAACCGATCCCTTGTTGGCTATTATTCTCAATTTTGTCTTGATACCCTTCATAAGCAATTGTAAAAATGTTGTACCAATTTTCAATTCAAACACGCATTGATACATCTAATCAATTGTTGTGAACATATGGCCTCCCATCCACCCTCATATACATTCTGAGTCAATGCTCAAAAGTCTCAATTGACCGGGCTTTGGGGACAATAGGAGGGTTCATATCAACCGGTACGAAATTGATATTTTCATCTATCCAGGATACGGCCTCATTAGACCTATTAACACTAGCTAAATCTGGCCAAAAAATGTAACTTAAGTACCTTGATGATACTCATCGATGAATGCTCTAAGGCTTTTCTCTAAGCATTCTTTGATATAAATGCTTTATTTTTTTGCAGCCGATGTTGTTGACCGAAAGAATGCTTTCGACATTCCACGCTCAGATAGTGCTATCCAAACAAGTAATTTTTATTTCAAAAATTTTCTATTCCTGCAAAACGAACATTATCTGGACATTATTTTTAATATAATAATTGATTTTACGAATAAAAACTTTTGTCATTGATGATGTTACAGTTTAGGGAATTCTTAGGCTTCCAATTGATCAGAGTGTTGTTTATAATACTCATAAGGAAAAACATGTCTTCAAATACTATAATTTAGAATGCCAAGTTAATCTTAGACCAACATACTTATAATAAAGCAATTGGCTGGGTGAATTTAAAAAAATAAAAATTCTTTTACGAAGTAATTGATCAGTTTTACGTAAAAACAAAATATCAGCAATTTTCCTTAAATTTTTATTTGCCTAAAACTGAACATAATTTGGAAGCTGGTATAATGACGAAATAAAACTAGCTAACCCTCCCTGACATATAGGTCAATTAAGATTAAATACTAAAAAGGGATATTTTACAGCACTCATTTAAAAGTTTATTTTTTAAATCGACACACTAAATTAGAAAAGTACTTATTAAACATTCTCTTCTGTCAACAGCAAGTAAAATATTGCAACTACCTTTCAGACAAAATAAATGAGACCGCGTATGCAAAACTTTTGTTCGTATTTTTACAATTTTGCTATTGTTTCGCAGTGGAAGCTATTAAAGTTCCACCACTGATATGGAACCATCAGGCCGTAAGAGTCTTAAGAGAAGAAAGAAATATATTATATAAGTGCAAGGGAATGCTAGATAAATTATAATATTTGGACAGATGTCCAGTATTAAGAGGTGGTGTTAAAGAGGGGAGTATTATTCACTAGTTAAGTTAGAGTTAAGTAAGTGTTCTTTAAGTTAGGTTTAAGTAAGTGTTGTTTCAGTGTTCTGTAAGTTTGTGTTAATTATTGTGCTTTGTGTTTGTGGTGTTCTAAATGTTCAAGTTTAATATATGAATTAATGTCTTTCTTTGTATGAATCTGTATTTTCGTAAATATTTTAATTTTCCGTCTTATTTAATTTTGATGTTATTATGTTCTTTGTGATCGTAATCTTTGTTAAAAGCACTTTATAAGATATGTTTTAACATATGTTGATAGAACATATGAGAGTGTGGAGTTTGTTGCTATTTTTGTAAGAACTATGTGCGGGGTGCAGTACAATTATAGCAACACAGTTTGGCTCAGTGGTGTTGGTTCGGGGCAGTATGATGCTTGTTAGGTAAACCAATAAGTTTCTTATATTATTTATAGAGAGACTTATGTATATCTAGAATATTATATATATCGTGTATAATATATCCGATATGCATAGTATGTATGCTATAAAGCTTTAGTGATTACCATCGTAAATTGGAGGTAATAAATTAGTAGTAAATTAGTAGTACAAATTATTGTAGTATAAAAGTAAAACAAGTTGAGGGGAAGGTGCTGCGCGAGTGGAGTTCGGGGTTGAGGTCATCATAATGGTCGAAAGTTGTGGCATGTGACAAACCTTCATCTCGTCAGGGCCATGTCGGAATGTCTAAGCTTGTTTCGAAGAAGTTAAAGTACTAAAACAACTCCATGGCCTACAGCTTAGTTACCACGTGAGGTTTAGATATGTGATGAACTCATACCCGAGGAGTCTCCCATTTCATCTGGTGTGCGTATCGAGAATTATAAGATCATACAGAATAGTGTAGATCATTATAATATGTTCTCACGCAATTATATAATACTGTGAGAGTTGATTTAGAATCTTAGGGGGTTGGGTACGGGAGAGCTGGTTTAGGCATAGAAGTATGTCTAAACCAGCCTAAACACCCATATAAGAACACAATTCTACATATACATGTATACACACCTAATGCATAAACACACGTCCACATACATGCACACGCATATGCGCATATAAACACGCAAACACATGCACACGCAAGTACACATATACTTGTGTGAGTACAACTCTGCATAAAACAGATAAATCAGGTAACGGAGTGAAATAGAGTGAAATAGAGGGGGTTGGGTGCAAGAGTATGAATCCAAATATAAATGTATGTGCACATGTATATGCACATACAAATATATCTGTATGAACACTACCATGTATAAAACAGAGGTCTATACATACTAAGAGGGTAACAGGGTAGGGTGTGCATATATGCATGCAAACACATACATCCCCACATGTCCGCATATACAGATGCATGCATATATGCATGCAAACACGCACAAATGATATACATAAATGAAGTACATACAT